GATGAGAACAATGTTATATTGTTTACTTAAATTGTCCTTGTGTGTAACTTATGGTGATTTTTTTATTTTATGAGTCATTGAAACAGGATATTGTTGTTGCTGCTGTTAGTTGCTATTAAGTCAGCTCCAACTCATGTTGACCCCATGTACAAGAGAAGAAAATGTTGCCCAGGCCTGTGCCATCTTCATGATAGTTGGTATGCTTAAGTTCAATGCTGTGGCCACGGTGTATTTTGAGTGCCTTCCAACCTAAGGGGCTCATCTTCCAGTGCTGTACTGGACAGTATTCTGTTGTGATCGTACGGTTTTCACTGGCTAATTTTCTGAAGTAGATCATTAGGCATTTCTTCCTAGTCTAGTCTGGAAGCTCCACTGAAACCTGTCCAACATAGGTGATCCCGCTAGTATTTGAAATACTAGTAGCAAGAAGCATAGTTTCCAGCGTGAAGGCCACACGCAAGCCATCACAATACGACAAACTCACAGATAGGTGGTGGGAAATAGGATATAAATGGGCTTAAATACTTAGGAAATTTCATCTACTCTTTTTTCCCCATTGCTAGAGACCAAATTAAAATATATGTGTCACAACCAAAGTTGCATACTTAACCAGTATCTATACACGCCAAGTAATACTTCAATGCCCTAGCTAACTCTGTGGCCCCCATCAGTCCCACTGAAGTTGTCCACTGACGTGGACTTCTTATACCCCTGGGTCCCATATAATGAACTGGCTGTGTGAGCTCAGTCTTGCCTAGTTATCAGAGTTAACTTTTGATAATTTGAAAATGTATTGCTTATTTGGGCATCTTTCATTCTCTTAGCTCCCCCTCCCTTATTCTCTTTTACTAACTGTTGAAGTGTTCTCATCACATGCTGGGACAAAGAAAGTGTTGTTGTTAGGTGTCTTCCAGTTGGTTCCAACTCATAGTGACTCTATGTATAACAGAACAAAACCCTGCCCGATCCTGCACCATCCTCACAATCGTTATGCTTGAGCCTATTGTTGCAGCCACTATGTCAATCCATCTTGCTGAGGGTCTTCCTCTTTTTCACTGACCCTCTACTTTACCAAGCATGATGTCCTTCTCCAGGAACTGGTCCCTCCTGATGACATGTCCCAAGTACATGAGATGAACTCTTGTCTTTCTGGCTTCTAGGGAGCATTCTGGCTTACGTCTCCAAGACAGATTTGTTTATTCTTGTGGAAGTCCACGGTATATTCAATATTCTTCGCCAATACCATAATTCATAGGTGTCAGTTCTTCTTCTCTCTTATTCATTGTCCAGCTTTTGCATGCATATGAGGCTTGGCTCAGGGGCACCTTAGTCCTCAAGGTGACATCTTTGCTTTTCAACACTTTAAAGAGGTCTTTTGCAGATTTACCCAATGCAATACATTGTTTGATTTCGTGACTTTCGCTTCTTTTATTTTTTATTTAAGTGTTCTTCTCGTCACCTGCTACAATAAAGAAAGGGAGAAGGGGTAAAAGTTAATTTTAGTTCATTTATTTGTTTTTTAGCATTTCTGAAAAAATGTGCCATAGTTTCTTTTTTAAATTATTAAAAATATCTTGTGGTTTTAGTTTATTATGGAGTGTAGAGAGAATACACAATTCTTAAATCCATAAAATAAAATAATTGCTTATGGATTTCCCTGATTACATTCCTTTTGTTCACATTGTTATAAATGATTAAGAGATGACGGTATTTCTTTTTTATATAAAATTTAAACAAATTATATAAGAAGACATTTAACCTTATTAGCCATTTACATTATTCTATAAATTATATAAAATTTAAACAAATTATATAAGAAGACATTTAACCTTATTAGCCATTTATATTAGTCTATAAACTAAACTGATATTAAAATTCCTCAGAGATTTTTCAGTGATAATCAAAATAAACCATTAATGATAATCAGTGAAAACCACATTTATAATTCAGAAATGTATTTAAATTTCTCTAGCCTTTATTTGCACATTGGGGAGAGATGTCCCATTAACACTTTATAGTATATAAGTACTTCTTATCTTTGCACAAATATTAAGAAAAATACTACTTAGCCTTCAAATTTGAAGCATAAACAGAAATAATTTATTAGTCAGTTAAACATGAAAGCAACTGCATATTCCATACAGACCTGTAACAATATCCTGTGGTGACTCTTAAAATTTTAATGTGAATCAGAAAAAAATGGGATAAAATGTTTCTTCAATGGGTTTAGGTTTTAGGAGGTTTTTTTTCATTTTTGTTTTTAAGTAGTCTAAAAAACATGATGTTTAAAATCTTTATATATGGGTTATGTAGAGATGTTTTAAGTCTGCGTGTGGCTTAAGCAGCATGTAGACTGGTATCGCAAAAAAGACAAGTATTTTCCTTAAACAGGCAGTGTTTATCGAATGCATATAAGGCAAAATTGAAGGGTTTTCGGCTTTTCTTTGGTCTTTATTAACCCACTCTACTTTTAACGTTAATTTGTTGCTGTGCTGTATGCACAGGTGTTTTAAAAAATATTAAAATATTTGAGCAAATAAAAATAAAATTAAAATTATAAGATATAGTTGTGAGAGCAAGATATATATTTGTGAGAGCAATTCCTAACTGATTTATATATATATATATATATATTCTTAGCATAAAAAAATTAAACCCTGCATTCCATTAAAACCCTGAAAGTTACTAGCATGAGCTATATGGTTAGGATTTTACCTCCACTCCCACTTTTGTCTTCTGACAGACAAAATGATATAATTGTGAAAATGTGTTTGAAATTAAAGCACTCCATCAAGTGGGGAAAAAAATGATCTGGGTAACATTTAAATAAAATTCCTTGTTTCGGCTCTTCTGACTCGGTGATAAAAGAATGTTCTATAAAATGAGCAAGTGTAAAGGTGTCATTTAGTGAGGTTAGCAGCTGAGCTAATTGGCAGAATTTGGCAAAGATGACTGTATTTGAAAGAGAAAGTGCCACCTCCAGCTTGTCAGGTAGTGACAGAGTTCCTGCAGTAGTTCTATTCTTCTAGAGAGGAAATTAATTTCCTGTAATCAAACACTGTGGATTATAGTCCTTGTCTCCTTCTACCTTGCCCACAGAAGCAAGTCTCAGGCATTTTATTCAGCAACATTACATGGGCTTTTGTAAAACAAGCAGTGACATATTCAGCATAGAAAGTTTTCACCTGCTACCTCTCCTAGCTCCAGAACACAGCCTATTGCTGCTTTGAGCCTGAGAGCTATTACTTTGTAAGTGACTATATTTGTAAGGCTTTATCTTGGGAAGGAAAGCAAAGTACCAGCAAGAAACCCATGTTTAGGTAGAAGAAACCTTGGTGATGTCTGGAAAAGGAATTGCAAAGCAGTGTGGCGCTATATGGTTGGTTAATGATTCCAAGGAATACATAAGAACTTTTGTAGAAATATTCAAAATAATTATTAAATAATGGTTAATGGTAGTGAAATAAAGCACAATTGTAGTCTTCCTGAGCCCTTCAATTCATGGTGTTTGTGTGTGTTTATCCAATATACATGTAATTTTGAGATTATTTCAATTCGTTCTGCATAATTCACAAAGAGTAATGTTTTGAAAATTAAATCATTTTTAATTTCTTAGCTCTGATCGGTGATCTTTTTCTGTAGGACAAGGGAGAGGGTGAAGATACAGGACAGGACAGAAAACACAATCCATAAAGAAAAATGAGCTAGAGTCATAGGTGGGGTAGAATCCTCTCTATCCAGTTCATATTCTCTTTTAAATAAAAATTAAGTTTAGTATGTGGAGGAAAAGGGTTCCCTCCCCTCCTACCTATCAGCTGAATCCTAGGCCTTTTCTTCCCCACCTATGGTCAACTCCAGTGCCTGACAAGGCCTTGGAGAACACATTAAGACACCCTGTAAGGCATTTCTTGTACCTGAGGAAGAGCCTTTTTACACTTTGAGAACACTGAATGAGAATTTTGTTAGTGGAATCAAGGTGGACCAGCCAGTCCTTTATTTATTATCATCTGTTAGGTACTGAATTTTGACTCAAAGCCAATCTAGAAAGTATTTAAAACCAAAAAAGAAGACTTTCTTACTTTCTCCTTCAAAGTTTAGCTTTGGTGATCATCCCACCACTTCTAACAAATAAATAATACATATATATGTACTTACATAAACAGACTTCTATCAAAAAAGAGAATCTGTTCTGTTTTAGTTTTTAAAGATATGACTAAAATTACACTTAAAATGTAGACAATTGGACTTTTTTCAAAATTTCTAGATTCGCTTATTGTTCGATATTGTATTCATTATGTCTTTCCATTGATACAGAAGGCGGCATGAATTCTAAAGTAATCCTACTTTTAGCTATCCTGATTCAGAGTCTAGAGTTAGCTTTAAATGTTCTGTGACAACATCAATTTGCTTCTGAAAGCAATGCTCTCTAATATTATAGGGTAGGGCTGTTCTGATTTCATTGTACTTGTTAGGTTTATGGTTTTTCACCCAACACACCAGCCTGGCTCTTTAGAGCTAAGTGGAACATATTTGGGGATGTACTTAGAAGACCCTGTTAATAAAATCGATATGTGTGACAGCAAAGATGGCGACCAATCTGCCCGAGTGCTTGTTTCATGTTGTTGTTGGAGGCCACTGAGTGGATTCTGACACGTAGTGACCCCATGTGACAGAGTAGAAATGCCCTATAGGGTTTTCCTGGCTGAAGTCTTTCCGGGAGCAGATCACCAGGTCTTTCTCCCAGGAAGCCACTGGGTAGGTTCAAACCTCCAAGTGCTTAACCATTGAGCCACCAGGGCTCCTCTGTTTGAGTCATAGTCCCTAGTTTTTAATGACCAGGAGGCATGAGGATTGCTTCATTTATCAGCCGTATACTCTTCCTAAAGCATTAGGTGCTGATCCATTAGGTGCGGACATAGATGCTAAATGTTAATATAGCTCTCTGTCATTCTGTAAACTCCATAATCACTTTGTGTTGGTTCTCTTCCTCTGTCCTATAGCCAACCCCACTCGAGCAGGTGGGAGAGAGTCATACCCAGGCTCAGCAGAAGTGATCCGGGAGTCCAGCAGTACCACGGGCATGGTCGTTGGGATAGTAGCCGCTGCCGCCCTGTGCATCCTCATCCTCCTCTACGCCATGTACAAGTACAGAAACCGGGATGAAGGCTCATACCATGTGGACGAGAGCCGCAACTACATCAGTAACTCAGCACAGTCCAATGGGGCTGTCGTAAAGGAGAAACAGCCCAGCAGTGCGAAAAGCGCCAACAAAAGCAAGAAAAACAAGGATAAAGAGTATTACGTCTGATCCTGCAATCTGAAAAGGACACTTGTATAGAAATAGTCTTCATTTTATCTGAGACATAATATAAACTTATTTACTTTCCTTTTTACGAAGCACATACAAAAAGAAGACAGGGAATGCAATCAGGAAGGAAAGACTGTTTTTAAAAAATAAAAACAAGTATCCCATGCTCTTGTTTCCCAAAAAATGAAATAAAGAAATAAAACAGGGGCCAATAAATTCCCTCACATCCACAGTGTTTTTCATTTACTCTGCCTGTCTTTATGTTGCTGGGACATTATTCTAAAGACAGCAATGACTGCACGCATTCATAAAGCAAAGGAGTATTACAACATCAAGGCACAACACAGAAAACAACACAACACACACACACACACACACACACACACAAAGAAGCTACCTATGATCCTGGATTTAGCCAAAGTGCTAGTGCTTTCCTGAGACGTCAGTTAGCCCAATCGCCAGAGAAGACTCTGCCATGTTGACTGACTCAACCTGCAAACTTTTTAGAGTTTGCCACCTGGCACACCTGGAGCAGTTGTTGGAACTTGCATTGGAAACCAAGTGCTGGCTTTTTTGAAGACTTGTGTAGGAACACATTCAAAAAGCCCCTTTCTGGTTGTAAGGGAAAAAAAAAAAGTACGGAGGCCTTATTTTCAAAAATGTGAAATATAAGGCACATTTTCACACAAATTTCAGAACAAAACCAAGAGGGCATAGATGCAATCATTGGGAAATTTTCATGCACGCTTAATATGTTACTACATATGTTTATATAAAATCCATCTCTGTGTGCTTTCTGAACTGTGATAAGTGACGTTTTATAGCCTGTTGTATAGAAAATGCAAACTATATCTCTGCTCTTCAGCCATTTTTGGTAAATTCAATGTTATAAGTGTTGCTAAGTATAGGGAGTTTTATGACATCTGGAGCAACAATTATTTCAGTTTTTTCTTTCTTTTTCTTTTTTTGCCACCATTATAAATTGCCACAATTATTTACTTTAAAAAAAAATACAGTGTAGTGTTTATTCTAAGGAAGATATGTATGAATGTATAAAGACTCAACTACTTTTTTCCTTACATGTACAGCCTTCATTCTGTTGCAATTAAGTTTTAGTATTTGTATGAAAGGCGTGAATTAGAAGGCAAAATATATACATATATATATCTTACAATATTCTTTCCTCCCCAAAATACTCATATCCCCTCACACGCACATTTCCCATTTGCAATCACACTCACGCACACACACACCCATCCTGATATTGCTAACCACTGGAATTCATCAAATAGGATGGAAGACCCAAACATGCATACAGTAGCAAATATTTACCGACAAATTAAAAGCAGGAAGGAAGATAGTTGTGCCAAGGTATTGATGACAAATAGAGTGATTTGCTTCATTGAGATCTTGCTCCCAGGAAACCCTGAAAAGATTTTTGTCCCTAATGAAATGGAACCTTTTCTTATCAAATAAAATATCACTGGTTATACTGCTGCTTGAATATGAACCATTACATGGGCAGGTTATGGAAACAAAAATGGTTGATCTACGTCTCAACCCTGGCTGCTGCAAGTGAAAACTTTTGTTTCCAATAAAATAATATATACATATTCTCTGAACCCGATGTGCATGATAAAGATTTTTGGAAAGTGAACACTTTCTCAAATAAGAAAGTATTTTCAACAATTTTTGATTCTGTATTACTACCCATCTTCAAAGATCATTCCTATCTGTTGATTATTGATCATATTTTAACTTTTCTGATTTTACATATATATATCATTAAACATAGTTTTAGTTTAACACACATTAAATAGTAGACTAGATTATACACTTGTTTTTGCATATTGTTTCCATGATGTTCATAGCAATAAATTGTTAGTATAAGGAGGCAATGCAAAGAAAATGCATTACCAGATGGTGAAGTGATGCTTTGGTGAAAATTGGCTGCATTACTTGAACATCTCCTAAAAGAACAATCTTACAATCTTGTATTTCATAGAAGAAAGAACATGTGTATGATTAGCTTTAACCCTTTAAAGGTTAATCAGCAAAGGCAAAAATGCAAAATATCTTTTGTGATACTTTAGTTGGTGAAAAAAGCTGAGAATTGGCCTAGATTTTCAGACATACAGCACCTTAGAAATATGTACAATTCATAGCAAATCACAACGGTGGTTGCCAAGTAATTGCTCTGTATGAACAGTCTTAAAGACTTTTCATGACTCAGAGAGTAAACGTTGTAAAGTTTAATATCCATTATTTGGGTTTCCCTTTTTCTTGTTTTAACTTGCCAGGTTAAAGAATTCCCAATCTTATTTTTTTCCCTCTCATTCAGTCTTACTCAGGGAAAGCCAGTGAAATAAGAAGGTAAATAAAAAAATCACTAATTGACGGCTTGAGATTTTAAAAAGAAGTGGTTGCTTTTTCATTTGACATACTAATCCTGAACTACTTTCCATCTGGAAAAATTTAAATATAGAAATATCTTATAGCTATCAAAAATATCTCAAAGAGAGAAAATAGAAAAATGATACTGTTAAGCAGTATAACTATGAAGCATGGTGGTTGGGATTGATTTCAATATTTCTTTCCAGCATAGATTTTAAAATCTCACACAAAGACATAATGTAAAATTGCCAGTAAAAATATTTCTAATGTTATTGGCCTACACAAAATGACTGATTTTTTCTGGGTTTTCTTCTGAATGGAGAAAGAAAAGACAAAAGCATGAACAAGGATGAGAAAAAGACGTGAATAAAATCCCAAGTATCTTCTTACCAAAAGTATCAAGGTTCCATGATGCATAGTGTGCAATTAATAAAGGACTTCACACTACCTGGCATAAATTTGATTACAACTCTAGACTGTAACTTTTCTGTATGCTTCTTTTTTATCCATGTAATGTATTGCCTTTGGAGAAAAAAATACTACAATAATGTATGAGGTGGTCAATTCCTAAGACATCAAAGACCACATGACCCTACCCTTCTAGTGCTTTGAGTGATTGGTTATCTAAGGATTTTCTTTTTGTTTTGTTTTTCTGTTGCAAGGCCAATTTATCCATTATTGGAAATGCTAAGCAAGTGGAATTTACTGTTTTGTTAATAAAATATTTCTTAATACAATTGTGGACTTACTGATTTAAAGAATTATTTGGCACCATTTTGTGATAAAGTAGCACAGTAATGAAGACTGAATTTGAAAATAAGAACTGTCCTTAGACAACCAGGGGGAGGATGTCTACTCTATTTTTTTAATGCTATTATTCATTATGCACCTATATACATTTATGCACCTGAAGATACAGCCGCTAAACGTAGCTTTGTTTACATCTGTTCTTCTTGATATACACGAAACCACAAACTCATAGACCTAGCTGAAAGCAACCTGAAGAAGCAGATTTACAACACCAAAATAAAAAGCAAAAGCATTCACTTCAAGTAAATCTGGGATAAAATTCCAACACTACCTCTTACTGGCTGCAAGTTACCTAATTTTTCTGATTCTCACTTTGTTGTTGTTGTTAGGTGATGTCGAATCAGTTCTAACTCATAGCGACCCTATGTACAACAGAACGAAACACTGCCCAGTCCTGCACTATCCTCACAATCGTTGTTATGCTTAAGCCCTTTGTTGCAGCCACTGTGTCAATCCAGCTCCTTGAGGGTCTTCATTTTTTCCTCTGACCTTCTGCTTTATCAAGCATGATGTCCTTCTCCAGGGACTGACCATTCCTGATAACATGTCTAAAGTATGTGAGACATAGTCTCACCATCCTTGCCTCTAAGGAGTGTTCTGGTCCTACTTCTTCCAAGACTGATTTATTCGTTCTTTTGACTGTCCATGGTGTATTCAATATTCTTCTCCAACACCACAATTCAAAGGCATCAATTCTTCCTCGGTCTTCCTTATTCAATGTCCAGCTTTCACATGCATGTGAGGTGATTGAAAACACCATGGCTGTAGTCAGGTGCACTTTACTCATCTGTAAATTAAGAATAATAGTACCAACCCCATAGAGTGGCAAGGATAATAAGGTAATGCTGTGACGGGCACAACTAAATGCAAATAAAAGGCGGCTATTGGTAATATTCTATAAGCTATCATCATCATCATCACCACCGTCATCATAGATTCAAGAAAATGTATGTCAAAAGTGTTTACTCAACTTGTTATTTGAAAAAAAACTGTATAAAGGAACATACGCGTTCATTTCCGATACAACTATAGTATATTTATTTTCCAAAAAGCAAAATGGTGTATTGGAAATCAGTTGACTCATCAGTCAGTAAGTTTTAGTCCAATAGTTGATAACTGTTAAAAAAAATCTTGGCTTTTGAAAATAATCTACTGATATAAAAGCATGAGTTTGGGGTTTTTCTCTTCCTTCAATGCAAAAGGTATGAACATGTGTGTTTACTGAGTTTTTTTTTACCTACACAGTTTTAGATACACTTTATCTCCTTCATAATATTAAGTAATCATTTTTTAAATGTAATGGGGAGTGGGAAATCCATATCTCCTTTAAGGTCTAAATTTAAAGCTATATAATTTGCTTACTTTAAAAATGTAAAGCATTTCAAAAGGGATGATCATATGAAGTCCATTATCAATAAACAGACTAAGGATTCTTGACATGTGGAGTATAGATCCCCAGGGACAAATGATTAGGCATCATGGGTTATTAACTTTTATATATATTGCTAACCATAAGGTTGGCAGTTCGAATCCACCAGGCACTCCTTGGAAGCTCTATGGGGCAGTTCTACTCTGTCCTATAGGGTTGCTATGAGTCGGAATCGACTCGATGGCAATGGGTTTATATATATAAATATATACAAATAAAAATAACCCACCCAGCATTACGACTGAGTTGATTCTGACTCATAGTGACCCTATAGGATACAGTAGAAAAACCCCCATTGGGTTTCCAAGGCGGTTAATCTTTATGGAAGCAGCCTGCACATCTTACTCTAGCTGAGTGGCTGGTGAGT